TAGTTTTACTCTAATCAAATTCAGAACAGATTTGAATTAAACACCCTTGGGCTCCTCATGCTGCATGTACTTAAAAGGGAATTCCTTCAAAGAAAGTCACACTAGCCCTACAAACCTGGAAGAAATTGGATTACACACCCAGCTGTTTCCCGAAAAAAAAAAACGCTATTCCTCGACATCAGCAGGAGATGCTTCTATTCAGATATTTGATATGTGATATTCACTGTGAATTAATGCCCCTGTTCTACCTTTACCATCACTAATCCTCAGTGTCTCAGGAAATGGTTACTTGGAGTGAACTGAGGAACATATGATAATGGTTGGTTTAAAGGTGTCCAATAGCAAACACCAGGAATACGAAACTACAGAATGTAGCTGGAATTCCCCTTTAAGGCACAATGGGACTCCAGATCCGTGTGAGTAGTGTTTTACTGAGGCCCTAATGCAGTATGTCAGTGTGTAGTTATACTATGGGACATTTGTTGGCCTAACCATCTTGCTCACACTGGATAGTGCATGATGGGTCAATAAAAATGACAGACTTTTGCTAGCAGGCAGACATGGACAGTAAAACACTGTCTTTCATCAGTGCGAACACGACAGGGTCCTGGGTTCGGTTAACGTACCGTCCTCCGCGCCGGATTGTTGCTTCCGCTCAACCTCCTGCTTGTACTCTTCCAGCTCTTTATCGGTGAGCTCGTTAAAGGGGTTTGGGGGCTCAGGCTCCAGGGAACTCAGTGTCTTCGGTGGCTCCCCCTCTAGGCCATTCTGCCCAGCTGTCAGTTCCGTTTCTGTCAACTGGGGGAGTAAATGGTAAATGGACTGCATTTATATAGCGCTTTTCTACTCTTACGAGTACTCAAAGCGCTTTACAATTTATGCCTCACATTCACCCATTCACACACACATCCACATGCCGGGAGCAATTTGGGGTTCAGTGTCTTGCTCAAGGACACTTTGATGGGGTCAGGAGGAACCAGGGCTCGAACCTGCAACTTTCCAGTTGCCAAACGATAACACTACCTCCTGCGCCACCAGAGAGAGACAGGTACTCATATAGAGTGGTGAGTACTCAGGTACTCGTATATAATGGTAACAGTTTTTGCCTACTTCTGTTATTTCACCTGCCCATTTACTTGATGGAACAACAGCAGGGAATATTGCTGTCTTGTGCTTTATTTCACTCTTCACCTGATTATACATTCCATGTATTGTGTGACTCTGGCCACTAGTGGGTGCTGTTGGGCTTTCTGGTGCCTGCTGGCAGAATGCACACCTCCCAGCTGGGTGAGCTTATGACATACCGGTGGACTCTTCTCGGTTATGACGCCGGCCAGCAGCTGCGACTGAGGTCCAGCTGTCTTCATGTCTTGGCGGTTCTGCTCACGGATCTGGAACAGGATACCAGTCTTCATTAAGCCAACGACACTTACGGCTCCAAGCTCTCTGCTTTCATCAGAAGTTCAGCTCCACGCTCCCCAAAGGCAGGGTCTGTAAAACCCATGAAAGCCTGCTGTGGAGCAGGTCTCAGCCCAGCCCACCTTGTTCCTGGTCTCCAGCACCTCCTGCGGGTTGGTGAACATCGGGACGAACTGATTTGGATTCTCGATCTTAATGGCCGTCCCACTGCCTTGCGTGGCCTCCTCCGTCTTCAGCCACTGGGGGGGGGGGGGGAAGCAAGACTAAAGCAGGCATTGCAATTCTGAGCATAGCACGGCACGGCCAGGCAGCCCCGGGGGCTGAAGGCATCCCAGCTGGTTGACACAGGGCTCTGTGCATCCGCAGGAAATATCCTGCTAGTGCCTGAAGTGAAGCTTATGAAACAATGGACTGCACAGGTCAGGATTTAGCCACTAGAGGGCAGAGGAGGCCAAGGGAGTGATTAGACACTGGGAGATGGGATTTCCCTGCATTGCGGAGAGTCAGAGAGAGGAGAGGAGGCGGCGACCCACTGGCATGACTTATCACTTTCAGCACAGGCGATAAATGAGCCGCTGTCGCTCTCCATCTCCCCACACCCCTTGAGTGCTAATGGGGCCCCGGGGGTCACTCACAGTGGTGCGCTGGTGTCCCGGGCTGGCCTGGTCCTGGCTCACTCGCTGGTAGGTGTTCGGGGTGTTCAGCCAGCGCATCCTCTCCTGCTGCTGCTTCTGGGCATAGGCCTGCTGCCGGGGTCCTGCTCGCTCCCCCTCCTCCTGGAAGCTGAACGACGTCACCGTGGCCGGAACCTCTACCTCCCTGCGGGTCTTGGCTCGCTCCAGCAGCACTGGGAAGCGGTATGCATAGCCTGTGCGGTAACCCTAGGAGGGGGGCGGCCGGGGGAGGGGGGCTGGAGTCAGTGTGCTGTGGACCATGTGCAGATGGGGAATGTAAATCTGCAGGAATAACCCTCAGCATTCATACGCCTGAAATGTTTACGTGAAAAATGCTAACTCCCGGTCTGCAGAAAGATCCGGTCTCTATGAAAGGTTGCAGTTTGACGTTGCCGCCTTTCGCTGGAGACCCTTGACAACTCCATGTATGGCAAGCGGCTTACTGACATCATCCACTGCAGACACGCGATACTGCACGATTAGAGGCTGAATGGCCTCCTTTCCGTGGATCCGCTCACATTATGAAACTAGAGGCGGGGAGAGGGTGGGGGTGCGATTGAGTGACTGAGGAGATGGTGTGAAGATGGATGGGTGGGTGGTGATTAATCCATTTGTCTTGTGTGGTCCACATGTACATGAACATCGCTTCCTGACTGGCTCATTAGGGACTGACTCATAGCAGCCTTTCAAAGCCACACTGTAGGTGCAGCTCAATCCAATTCCTCCTAAACCCAGCGAAAGCTCTCACCAGGTTGTCTAGGGTCCTCATGACAGCCTCAAACTCGTGCTCGCCGAGTCGGCTTTTGTGGAGTGGCCCGAACGTAGATCCGGCCCAGCCCACTGTTCCAGCTGCACTGGGTTTGTGCGTTGTCCGGTCCAGCATAATCAGATTCTGCTCCCCGCCAGCGCTGCACAATGCTGACACCTGCAGTTGAAATGAGGCATTACAGAACACATTTCAAATGGCAGAAGCATGTGATGCAACAGCCCCTGGGAGAATGGCTCACCTGAATCTGACAGGCAGCCTGGATGTGATACACAGCATAGAAAGCCTCTTCCACAGACTCCCCTAGGGCGACGATGCCGTGGTTCCTCAGCACCAGAACCTGGGGGGGGGGGAGGGGAAGCACATGTCACACTAGCTTGGTCGCCATGGTCCCTGCTCCCCTTGTAGGCATCTGTTTGTTGGTGCCTTCACCTTGCAGGTGGGCCCCAGGCTCTTCTGAAGCTCCACCCGGTCTTCCCTGTCCTCCATGGCACCGTTGTAGTCATAGTAGGCAACTTCGCCCACCAGCAGGGCCTCGTGGGATAACGGCAGCAAACCACACTTCATGGCCGACACCTGGGGGGGAGCATGCTCAGTTGCAGGGAGCGCAGACAGTAGAGCTGAGGACACTGATCTGAACAGAAACGATGATGAGCTTTGGGGTAAAATCCCACCACATTCCTAGGTGATTCATTCTGTTCTACTTTCATTATCCTTTCACTATCCCTCAATCCAGCACTGCTGGCTCACACCTCCAGGACTGAGGGTTCGAATCCTGCCTGCTGTGCATGTGCAGTTTGCATGTCCTCCCTGTGTCTTGTCTCTAAATTACCCACAGTGTATGACTGTGTGTATATCTCTGACCTTAGTGCTGCACTCGTACCACTCTGGAAGCACTGAATGTGAAAATGTACAGAGTAACACACCCTGTAACCATGCTCATGCTACAACACAGGCAGATCGCTCACCGCGGCTGTGGCGGGTGTGTGGAGGTGAAGCAGGCAGCGTGTGTCCGGCCGCGCTGAGTAGATGGCGGAGTGCAGGCTGAACGTGCGCGAGTCAACGCCCAGTGTGGTGCAGCCTCTCTCCACCACCTCGCCAAGGATGTTCACTTTGGCCTATGGCAAAGGACACCAGTGAACCACTGAGCTGCACTGGGGGTCACGACTAAGGACGAGTTTGCACTAAATGCCCGGTGAACACACAGACACACCATACTGACCAGATTGGCTGCAGTCGCCTCTGAATACGCCAGGCCATCAGGTAGCACCAGGAAGTGGTCCTGTTCCTTACTGACACGGAGCTGGAAGGAGACAGATTATCAAGATCATACACAGAGGAATAATCGGGAAGACATAGAGAGGGCAGAGAGACAAAGAGGAAAGGGAGATGAGCTGATAAGACAGGGATAATCAGATACATGTAGAGAGGGTGAGGGATGATCAGAGACACACAAAGAGGACAGGGAGACAATCAGAGAGAGAGAACAGGGTACAGATACACAGAGAGGACGGGGGCGATCAGAGATACACTGAGGGGACAATCAGAGATACACTGAGAGGACAGGGGGACAAACAGAGATACACTGGGGGGACAATCAGAGATACACTGGGGGGACAATCAGAGATACACTGGGGGGACAATCAGAGACGCACAGAGAGGACAATCAGAGACGCACAGAGAGGACAATCAGAGACGCACAGAGAGGACAATCAGAGACGCACAGAGAGGACAGGGGGACAATCAGAGACGCACAGAGAGGACAGGGGGACAATCAGAGACGCACAGAGAGGACAGGGGGACAATCAGACGCACAGAGAGGACAGGGGGACAATCAGAGATGCACAGAGGACAGGGGGACAATCAGAGACGCACAGAGGACAGGGGGACAATCAGAGACGCACAGAGGACAGGGGGACAATCAGAGACGCACAGAGGGACGATCAGACACACACAGACTCACTGTGAGCTGGGTATGGCTGAGTTGTGCCCACCCGTACAGGTCCAGGAGACGGTACACACTGGCCAGCTTACAGCGCATCAACCTCTCCCCCTTGGCCAGGGAAGGGGGCTCCCAGCTTGTCAGGTCATTGATGGGTGTAACCAGCGCCATGGCTATGGTAGGCAGAGGAGGAGGACAGCATGTTACAGTGAGAGATACCCAGAAGCTGCGTGTCAGATGTGTGGGCGTGTGTCAGTGTGAGCGGTACATTTAGGAATACCATGCGTGTGGATCTGATGGTACATTCAGGAGAACCGTGTGTATGCGTGCTTGACAGTACATTCAGGAGAACCGTGTGTATGCGTGCTTGACAGTACATTCAGGAGAACCATGTGTATGCGTGCTTGACAGTACATTCAGGAGAACCGTGTGTATGCGTGCTTGACAGTACATTCAGGAGAACCGTGTGTATGCGTGCTTGACAGTACATTCAGGAGAACCATGTGTATGCGTGCTTGACAGTACATTCAGGAGAACCGTGTGTATGCGTGCTTGACAGTACATTCAGGAGAACCGTGTGTATGCGTGCTTGACAGTACATTCAGGAGAACCGTGTGTATGCGTGCTTGACAGTACATTCAGGAGAACCGTGTGTATGTACATACAGGAAGCAGACACCGGTAAGGTTGCCGGAGATCCCTGGGAAGCCATGAATTCAGCGATCTGCTTCAGAGCCCAAAGGCTGGAGGAGCTGCTGCCCCGTTTGACCTGTTCCTGGATCAAGACATCCAGATCCTCCCTGAAAGACTGACAGCAGCGTGGAAAGGGGCAGGTGAGCGAGGTGGTGAGATGCCAGCATGCCTCCCACGCACCGCCCACGCTGGAGCCCCGGCCGACACTCTCAGAGCCCCTCCTCGCTCATGCTGAATCTCCCCCCTCCCTCCCACTCTGCACTCGCAGCTGTCNGAGCCCCGGCCGACACTCTCAGAGCCCCTCCTCGCTCCATCTGCGAGTCCCCCCTCCCTCCCACTCTGCACTCGCAGCTGTCAAGTGGTGATTCAGAGCAGATTAAACCTGAATGGTACAGATAATCACATCTTTGGGAACCTGACGAGGGGGGAGGGAAGAGAAGGTGGAGAGTCAGTGCCCCCCCACCCAGGACGCACCGGGCTCTGCAGGATGCTGGACACCAGCCGCTTGCGCTCGGCTTCGCCGAGGGGTGTGGAGGGGGCGTCGGGGTGCTGTGGGGACTCTGAACCAGAGATGTGCCCCCCCTCGCCGTCGCTGGGGCTACGTTGGACCGGAGTCCCTTTGGGGGTATGACAAGTGCTCATTTTCTCTCAAGAGGACAATGGAGGTTGGATAACTGATGAAAGAGAGAGAGAGAGAGAGGAGGACAGGAAGTGAGAGAAAAGAAATAAAGGAGAGAGGTTCTTCTCCTATACCTACATCCTTCATGGGCAGTTCTGTCCACGTCCAGCCCGGCTTCTGCTTCACGCGGTATTTATGTCAGATTATCTTACACCCAGACCGTCCAAAAGCTGAAAGCCCGCTGCTCTCGTCTCCAGGCAGGCAGAGAGGCAGACCAGGACTCCATCCAAAACGCCCACCAGTCCCGTTACTATCGGAGACGCGGGAGGTGTGAGAGAGTGAGAGAGAAGCGGGCCCCCGGGGGGGGGGGGGGTCAGACATGACGCCAAAACGCGGCAGCGGGGACACGGCAGGGCTCCCGGCATCTGCAGGGCGCAGATAAGGCCTCAGTGGGAGGCACACCCTGGACCCCCCCCTTGCAAACTGTGTGTGGGCTGTATACTCCACACACGGCCACTGCTGACAACCAGCTGCAATATTCATACAAACCTCCCTCTTAGCCTCGAACAACAAGCGGAAAATGGAAAATACAACCTGCAGCACAGACTCATAGGACACCACAGTGTCAAGGAGTCTCCACCAACCACCAACAGTACCCTCCTTCTGCCAGCTGAGCCAGTGAAACAGGCCTTGGGGGGGCTGATGGGGCTGGGATACTGGTGCCACCTGGGAGGGGGACAATGCCTGAAGCACCCCCACCAGAAGGAGCAGCAGGGGAGGAAGCTCTGAAATTGAAACCAGCCTTGTGGAAGATGCAGGGTTCCCCTGAGCCCAGAACCAGCTGCCGACCCAGAATCTCCACCCTAATGGAAGTGGTATTGCAGCTCACCCTGGTTAGCGGACTTTAATACCCCGAGTCAGTGGTTTTATCGACTGACTCGTGAGGAAGCGCTCCATCTGCGAGAGTGAGTCATCTCAGTCACTTAGACACTAATGCAGGGCGGAAAGTAGAGGAAGACAGGAAGGCCAGAGTGAGTGGCAGTGCAGCTTCATGCCGCTTGTGTAAAAGCAGACTTTCAGTGCATCAGCAAAAGAGCACTTCGTATTACAGGCTTGTTCTCCAAGCCAGATGGCAGGAGACAGGAAACTGAAGAGTCAGTCCTTATTGGAAAAGGTCTGCTTACCTGAATCAAAAATATATAAATGCACTTTGGGGGGGGGGTGTTTAAAACATGACAGAGGGTCTGTATAAACTTACACCTGTGTTAAGGGCCTCATGTTAATCAAGTGAAGTAACCTGGTGAAGGATTAACCATCTCTGTTATTGAGCCAGATAAACACATTTCATTGGCCACATTTTCTAATGGCCAAGGGAACAGTGTGTTTCAGGACACACCTTCTTTCAAAGCCTTATTTAAAGTCAGAAGTAGCTTTCCCAATTAGAAAATTCTCATTTTCAGGTTTTATTAAATCTTATAAAACTAGGAAAACTATATCTCTCACTGAATGGTACTTATGAAGTGAGAAATTCTGAAATCTGTGTTGATAGTGTGTGTACACAAAAAGACAGTCACATTAGATAGCTGTATTTAAAGAGTTTTAGCGCAATGTAGGGAGATACAGCACAAAGTGGTAATCCAAGTCAGTCTCAGGACACATACCCATCTCGTAGGTCACATTACACACTACAAAACCGCAGCAGGAAACTCAGTTAATACCCCCCCCCCCCCCGACTGAATAACCAGCAGATGTTTTCCCAGAATGCCTCAGAGTGGGATATGTACTGATGCCATTCGATCCGGCTGCTCTACTCCGCACAGCACCATAGCTTTACTTCCATCACCAGCACTTTGGGTCTGTTCTGATGTGCCTGCTGGAGAGGTTTTCCAGCTGGAGAGGTTGAGCTCATTAAGCTGTTGGCCCAAAGACTGGGGTGTGGGCTAACCCCCCCCCCCTCTTTGTTACACCAATTAAATGATTTTCCCGCTTGTCACATCCTTTGATGTGGATATCTTACATCTGAATGAAGTCTTGTTACAAGATTTGCATGTAATCCAAGTATATCAAGTATCAAAAATGACCTCTGCTTAGAAAAAAAATTAACATTATGACTTAAGGACCAGAAATATTGTCCATTCAATGTCCAGTTTAGAGGAGGGTAACAACTGGGATCAGAAATTACTGTTTAATACATCTTGAATAAGACACTATCCAAAATATCGACAGGATTATGGTATTAAGGCAGAGGGAACCATTCTGGAGATTAGAGTTATGGATGCATCCCAAAACAGCCACCCCTTTTGTGAACATGGCTGAATTTACCCAGATCCACATGCTGCACGTCCGACTGTGACCAAGGACACAGTCTTACGTTGCATCAGAAACAGGACCTAGCCAGCCAATGAGGAAACAGAGCCGAGATGTCAGAACACCCACCCATCACCCACAGAACAAGAGAATGAACGTCCTTTCTAGACACAGGGCAGGGGGGTGGGGGGGGGGGGGTCACTGAACGATTAAAATGACAGGGAATAATCAAACATCTAGCCTTTACGCATCCTTAATAGCTGTCAAATCTAAATGTACAAACATAAAATAATTTAACACTAAAACAATCAATGTCTTCCAGGACAAAAGAAAATAATCAGCACAGTAAAAATATTATTGGGCTACTGGCTGTATCGCATTTCGGGGTCTGTTTTCCCTACTTCTCATGACGACATCTCTCCATCTGTGTTGCTCGGCTGGGCTGCCTAGCAACCAGGGGAGAGCCCCTGCAGCATCAGCACCAAACCGCCGGATTCGAGGCTCCAGGACATACGGCAGCCCTCATGGCAGCCTTTCCCTATTATGAACGAAGCAGAGTCAGGGCGGTTATAATACCGCGACTACGCGCAAGAACAAAGGGCTCGGCCTGGGAAACAGGACCGCCAGTACTGACATGAGGGTAAAAATGTACGGTGGATCGTGATACCCCATTTTCTCCACCAGCCCTATAATTAACATACAGAACTGAGGGGACTATAAAACATAACAACACTCAACACGTTTCTGAAGTGTGAGCCCCTGGACATAAGCAGAGGCCGGAGCGAAGTCTGGTCCTTCTAGACTAAAATGAGCCGCAGACAGACAGACGGCGATACAGCCGAGCGGATCCAGCCCCGAAACGTCAATAAGGCGATCGGATGTTAAGCCAGGCCCTCCAACTCCCAGCGCCAGTTTCTCCGCCGGCGTGTGGGTAGAGAGGTGCTCTCCGAAGGTCGTTCACGTCCCTCCGTGAGGATTAAAATGAATTGCATAAATACCATAATGCCTGTAATCCGCACAAATCTGCTTCGTACGCTCGCGCGGATTTGCGGACAGACCTACGTGCACAGACCTGCGGGATGGACGCGTTTGTATAATTACGCGACGGAGAACGGGGGGTGGTCTACCGGTGCAGGTGCGCGGAACGCCGCTACCCATTCCCGATCCTACCTCAGAGCATTCTCCGGTACTCCGGTAAAGCGACGCGAACCTCCACCAGCAGCTCCGGGTCTACTTGATCCCGCTCGGGCGCTGAAGCATTCAGCTGCCGCCCACCGAGCCCCCCCCCCCGCACTTCTCCATCCTCAGACGTAACCTGGACTAGCCCATCGCCACGCCTGCGGACGCGGCGGCCTCGGTCCGGTCCGTTTGCACCCGACCCAAAAGACCGTGACGCTAAAAGACCCCCCCCCCCAGCGCGATACTCACAGCGTGATCCTTTACTGTAAAGAGCAGCCGGTCCGTTTCGATCCAGGGAAAGGCACGCTCGTTTAGGCGCGTCCCCGCGAAGGCATTGTTCACAGCCGTCCTTTGGCAACTCTACGCCGCCAATATCACCGCTGTATCCCAGCTGGATGGAGCTTTGTCGCCCTCTGCTGGACGATGCTTGGGTATAATCCTTACGTTTAAACTCAGAATCTCAAGTCATCGACGAGCGTTTTTAAGCGGTCATTTTAAATTTGCCAAGTACCAAGAGCATAGACTTAGCAGTTTACCTCCACTGCACTGGAATACTGAACTTCCCAGTGATCACTACAGTATTTATTAGTGTACATATTCTATATACCAGACCAATGAAATACTCTCTTCTGTTCAAAGAAAAATAAATCAGCGGGAAATATTCTGGTGGAGGACAAGAACCTGTAGTACACAGAAGCAAGTTACACCCCAGAACTCGCCAGTGAACCTTTTAAAAATTAAGCCTGGTTACATCATGTGGTTAAACAGCAGCATCACGTCAATTGAAAGCATGGGAAAAACAATGTACAATGCTTTCAGTTTTTATTTCAAGGGGCTGTTGTACCAGAAGTATCTTGCACACAACATGTAATGTGTACATACATTCATCCATGGAAGTCTTCACAAAAGAAAAAAAAAAAGTAATCTTCAACACCCCTGTATAAAACACAAACATTTCCACAATTGAGCATCTGCATTTACAAAGATCTTTCATAAACAAACGTCGGCTGAGTGGGTATTGCCGTTCCATTACCACATTTGGTCATGGTCTGAAATGAAGCAAACCTGAAAGTGCTCATTTTGTCTCCGGGTTGAACACCTGCATGTTTCATCCCTAACAGGACTGGAACATCTGCAGAAACAGACAGCAGGTTACATTTGGGGCACATTAAGAACAATTAGGAATAGGACAGTATTTTCCCATTTCTCTACCATTCTTACATTTTTTTTGCAGTCACTTTTGCCCAAAGTGACAGATTATATATCACAAGCAAACCACTGGCAAAGAACCAACATGAATCGCATGATTACAGATTCCCACCAATTATAAATCTCTGACCTAGCATTTACACATTTAGTCACCAGACATAAAAGAAATAAATGTCCCTGGTGTTAGTAATGGCACTTAGGAGTTAAAATAAAAGGAAAGAGAAGGGACTTCCTGAGGAGAGGGACAAAGGGCAGCCATACCATTGCCTGTTCTGGGGTCAGCTGGATGACGTACTGGTATGTGGGCATCACACACTGATGAAACAGTAACCCACCAACATCCCCAACATCATCCCCAGAAACTCCAGTGGGAACTGACAAGGTCACACCATCCATCAGATCGGGTCCCGGAACAGCACCCAGCACCTGAGACATACACTAGATCACAACATCATTGCAAAAGAAATAAAGGTTAAAAAGCTAGAGACTACCTTGGTATATAAGCAAGGTCACAGTCATCAACCAAAGATTACTTCTCTTGACCATAGAATTAAGTCAATACAACTATGGTTTCCATAAACTAAAAAACAAATACCAGCTTTCCTAATTCTGAAGCTGCTTTAAGAACGAGATCTTCTATCGTTCATTTGTAAAATGAAAGGAAAAAAAAAGGATTTACCGTTTAAGCATTTGCAGTGAAATAGAATGGATTTGTGCTTGGTACACGAAAGTTTCCCGAATCAAAACAGGGAAAACTCCCCAGTCGTCAAATAAGCGACATTTGGGTTACGTCATTTCCTTAGAGAGACGAAATCGTCTTCACACACACCTGGGGTCCTACACACATCGTCTCCGGAGGAGTGTCACTCAACACGGACAGGAGCAGGCGGATGTACTCGGAGGCAGCCTTCAGAATGTCCACCTTGCTGGGCTTGCGGTCCCGCCGCATTAACGGCACCATTCGCTTCAGACAGGAGAACATGCAGTTCAGGTTCCGGATCTGAACCAGAGTGCAGGGCCATGCAAGAGAGGGTGGAGACATGAAGATGGTGGAGATATGAAGATGGTGACGACAGTGCCGACTGTATAACAGGTCACCATGGTTAGATGGGATTTAAGCCGTATTCTGGGTAGTGAGAACCACACACACACACACACACACACACACACACACACACACACACACACAGGTATGACCAGAGCAGCAATTTACGCTTGTTTGAGGATATTTCCTGCCATATGCAAAATACTTGCGCTTACTCGGAGCCGTTCCTTTTCGTTCACCATCTGACGCCTTTTTAACCCATCATTCCAGTCCTCGGTGTCCACATAGATCCCGTCGATTCCCCGCCTGAACTTCCTGATGCTGGCGTACTGCGGTAGCACAGCGCCCCCGTACATGCACGAAAGGATGTCGCTAGTCAGCTCGCCTTCGGGGACCCGCATCATGTTACCAGCGGCCATGCACGCCGTGGGAGTCAAACGGCGCGACTTCCTGCGCCACTTCACCCCCTTATACGCCGTTAAGCCGGCTATGTTGCTTAATTATCAGTCAACTTTAACAGTGTTGGGAGTTTTGTCGAAAAAGCTGTAGCTCTAGGCAAACTAGAAAGACCGAGTAAGTAGACAGTGATGGCGTTCAAATAGTACGCATTGAGTTAATTATGCAATCAAGTGCATGCAGGTGTGCACAGCTTCCCTCCCTTTGTCCTTATAAAAGAGTGACTTTTCACGTTTTCATTACGTAGGCCTATATACTGTAGGTTACGTTAGTTAAACGCCTCTCAAACTACTCAGTGCTTGCAATCGGTTATCGTGGTCAATGCCGTTAAAAACTTCACCGAAGTTAATTGTGTATAATCAGATTATAGCCTCGGGCAAACCTTTGTTTAAAAATGTATTTTAACTGCTTTAAATTTTAGTTTTTATTCTCGTGGATGTAAAGGGACTCTTCAGAAAAGCGTGCTGCGATTATAGGATGTGCAATAGTGTACGAGTCAAGCCACTAGGGGTAAGAATTCAGGCGATTTCCTCTGTAATGGAGTGACAAACAGCTGTAGCCTACTACTAATGTTTTAAACAAGAAATAAAACCTTTTAATTTAAGACTGCCATTTTAATTAAGTATAAAAAATGTAAGTATAAAAATTTTTAAAGAAGAAAGTCTTTTTGTTAACGTGTTATGTTGCAATCTCAGCTCTGTTTTCCATAGTAAGGAAATCTGCAGAAAAATCTTCAGAAAAGATGGTTTTATTATCTGTTTCCTCGTTTTGCTTTTACTCACAGCGCCGACAACAGGGTTGCATTTTTATATGTGTTTTATGAAGTTGAGTACTGTACCGACAAAACGAGTGCGTGCATTTGGCAGCACAAGCCATGGAAAGGCAGGGTAGGAATGGGTAACGGGCATGAATTTAGGATATATTTCTACATTTAACTCTTTTTGTTAATGTGTTAATGTATTTTAAAATAAGTATAAAAATATGCTATAAAGCATTTAGCCAATGATAGTGAAAGAATTTAAGCACATTATCCCACACGCCCCGAACCCTGGACTACAGCGGTTAGAATGGTCGACCAAAGGCCTCATGCATAACGACGTGCGTAGAATTCAGACTAAAACATGGCGAAAGGACAAAACTGGTAAGACATCTACACTATCTGCGGGTGTGGTACCATCAGATTGGAAGCATGCTA